CCCAGGCCCCAGGGAGGGGGGGCGCCCCCCCCCCCCTTCCCCGAGGGGTGACCCACCCACCCGAGCCCCCGGGTGAAGGGGGGTACCCCCCCTCCCCCCCCGGTTTCTCAGAGCGGGGGGATTCTTTCCAATCAGGCGACAGTAAGATCGCGCTTCCCTGCATCATTCGAATCAGAAACCTTCGAAAACACATTCTTGGCTCACGCCCACCAGCGATGGAGAGGAGCATCACGCCAAGCACACGCACACACACACACACACACACACACACACACACACACACACACACACACGCACGCACGAACGCACGCACGCACGCACGCACGCACGCACGCACGCACACACACACACACCACACACACACAACACACACGCAAGCACGCACACACACACCACACACAACACACACACACCACCCAAACCACAACACACACACGCACGCACGCACGCGCACACGCACACACACACCAACACTCACCACACACACACACACACACACACACAAACACACAACACACACACATGTACACACACACGCACACACACACGCACACACACACCACGCACCACACACCCACAACACACACACACACGCACGCACACGCACCGCACACGCACACGCACGCACACACACACACCACGCGCACGCTGCACGCACCAACACGCACCCGCCATCGCCCACGACACACACACACACACACACACACACACCACATCGCGCCGCTGCACGCCGCGCACGCACGCACGACGCACCGTACGCAAGCCACAAGCACCCAACACCCACACACACACAACACACACTAACACTAACACTAACACTAACACGTGAACACTAAACAACAAAACACAACACTAACACTTAGCACTAGCACTAACACTAACACGGCACAAAAAAAAAAAAAAAAAAAACAAAAAAAAAAAAAAAAAAAAAAAAAAAAAAAAAAAAAAAAAAAAAAAAAAAAAAAAAAAAAAAAAAAAAAAAAACGCAAACACACACACACACACACACACATGCATGGGCCCGCAAACGCATACACACGCACGCACGCACGCACGCACGCACGCGCACGCACAGACACACACACACACACACACACACACACACACACACACATACACACACACACACACGCACGCACGCACGCACGCACGCACGCACGCACGCACGCACGCACGCACGCACCCCCACACACACCATACACACACACACACACCTGACATTGCTGACATTGAGATCTTACCGACAACGGCCGGTTGGGAAACTACGCTGCACAGACCCCCCGTCGCAATCGCAGCAACTATGCTTTAAATTTCCCGAGCGACCGCGCATCGCACCCTCGCTAGATTCAAGCGACGGAAGAGAGTTTAGACGTAGCCCAACGAGGGCTGCGTGATCCAAGCCGACGAACTCGCTATCCAGGAACACCCATGAACGCGCAGGGACGGCGCCATCTCGCGGCGCACACCACTCAGTCGCGGGGGCGACCGCGCAGCCTCCAGCAAGCGCAGTCTCACAGCGGGCATCGGATCTCGCGCGCGCCGAACTCGCGGCGCCTTAGGACGGCCGCGCGAATGCCCAATCACCCCTGGCCACGAAAGAGTGATAAAACGCCGCGACTGACAGTCTGATAGCTAGTCCTCCAGCGACTGGAAGACGCACGGCCCGCGCAAGACGATGCCAAGATCAGCGCCAGAAAGTCGCAACGATAGCAAGGTCGCGAGATGGCGACCTCGCCGGGCCGAGCCCGAAGCCGCGCCCAGTCGGCGACGCCGAGCCAGCACTGGGGCGCGGGCGGCGCCCGCGCACTGCCGCCGCTCGGCGCCCTGCTCTCTGGACCTCCACAGAAGCGCCCCGCCTGAGCGCAGCCTGGGCGAGACGCATGGGCCGATCGTGGGACTTTCGGAACTTCTGGGATGGGTCGGACTGTTGCACCGCGGCCCGCGCTAAACATCGCCGGCCGCTGAGATCCATTCCAGAATAGGCCGTGCGAGCACGAGCTCGCGGGGAAACTCCACTGCGCCGCAGCCACCTCGCCACTGCCATCACATCCACGACGCGCCCGCGCGACGACGCCCTTCCAGCGATGCCCAGGCGCAGTTTGCAAAACGCTCGCACCATGCGCACAAGTCCCCGGCTGCTGGCCTGCTCGACGCGAGGCCGCGATCCCGCTGCCCGCCGCGACAGGTCGCCGATCTAGATCCGTTCGGGCGGCGACGGGCTGGAGGCGCAAGAGGCGGCCACGCGCGGAGGTCAGGGACACTCGGCGAGGCGCGCGCCTGCCCCCGCACTCTTCACCACCCACCGCGAGACCCGAAGCGGCCCCATGGAAGAGCTGCGTCGGCCCAGCACGCGCGGCGCGAGGCGCACTGGAGCAACTCCATGATCTGGATCGCGGGCGGGAAGCCACCGGTGAGAAGAGAGCCAGAGAGGAAGAAGAAGAGGAAGAAGAGGGGGGGGGGAGAAAAAAAAAAAAAAAAAAAAAAAAAAAAAAAAAAAAAAAAAAAAAAAAAAAAAAAAAAAAAAAAAAACGCATCCCGCCAGAGGCGCCCACTCCAGGCCGCCGCAGAACGCTCGCGCACCCAGCGAGGCGCGCCCGCGCGAAAGGCCAAGACGATCCCAAGCCACATCCCCCAGCCCCCTCGCGAAGGCTTCGTGGGGGGCGCCTCTGCCCGCGACGGCCGCGCCCAGTGGTCGCCCAGGGCAATCGACCACTTCCTCGCACACCCCACTGGCCATCGGCCGCAGTCGGCACAGCACGGCGATCTGGCCGACGGCCCGATCGCCCCTGGACTCCCCCCGGGAAGTCCGCCTGCCGCGCGCGTCACCTCACACAATCAGAAGAGGCCCCCATCGACCATGGCGGACAGGCCGCCAAGGGTCTGAACGCTTTGGCCTGGCAAGCGCTCTACATCAGCGGGCGAGAGGCAGCGCGCGCCCTGGCCCCTGCCTTTCATCTGGGCCAAGGCCGGGCGAACGGCGATTGCTCGATACACGAACACTGATTCAATGGGAGAACGTGGATTTCTCGCGGCATGGATCGCGATACGCGACGCAGCATCATTGCGCACCACTCACTGTGTTCTGGTGGAGCGTAACACTTGCTGAACATCCACGAGAAAAACCCGAAGCAGCCTTTCGCGCGCCCTCCTGGACGCACTGGGAACTACTTCATCTAACGCTGGCAAATGATCCACACGCGTAGGTCCACTAGCCGCCGAGCGCCTCGCTGTAGCACGCTCCAGATACCAACGTTGTCGGGGCAAGCTAAACCTGCGCTGGCCACTGGCAAGCGGGCAAGCCTTCGCGCCGCTGTCCAAATGTGACCCAGCTGGCCCGACCAGCTCTTGCGAGGCAAGTTGCGCAAGGAGCGCTAGACGCTGGCGCGCAACCTGGCTCAACATGCACTATAGACCGCATTGCAGCCGCTGCTGCCGCACAGTCTCGGATTGATCGAGACCGATTCGAGCTCAGGGCCAGCACCTCGAGAACGGACGGGAGGGGCCAGCTCGCGCAGCGGAGCATTCCGACCTCTTTGGCAAGGGCCACGGCCGCGGTGAGTTGGTTGCCCTCCTCCGACGCAAGCGTGCGCGTCACCCCCCTTTTCCGTGGCATTCGCCTTCGCCAAATGCTCCTCTCGGGGATAGAATGACCCCCCTTTAATGAAACGTAGTTTAGTGAAAACGACCTCGGGCCCAAACCTGGCAGGCGCAAAGCCTGGAAAATGACGGCCGCGGCGCCCTCTCGACAACCGAAAACGGACAACTCATTGATCGACGTGTCAAGGTGGGGGTTTAATCAACCCCCGATGTGGACAGCGTCCGGGCCTACTCAAGACCGGGTGAGCGAGGCCGTGGCCTCGGGAATCTGGCGTGTCTGGACAACATGCCATGCGAGACACATGCGCACAAAATCCGGAGAAGAGACGGAGGGGGGCTGGCCCATGGGGTCGGCCAAGTGCTCCTCGCTCCTGGCCGCCCGAGCCGCCGCCCGCGAAGACTTCGCCGAGGCGCCGCGCCACGCGCCAGCGTGGCGGCGCACTGCCCCACATCTGCCGGCACCGCCGCCGCTGGCGCCCTGACGGCGGCCTGCTGGGCAGCCTTAAGCCGGGCCTGTCCTCCTACTCAAAATAATCAAAAAGTCGGCCCCAGAGAGTGACAGGCCCGACTTAAGCCTAGGCGGAGGTGAGCGCGGCGATGGTCGCCTGCACGTCCGATCGAAGCCCCAGTCGGCGGAACCGCTGTCTGTGTCAGATCCTGGCTGATTCTGCTGACCTCCACCTCTGGAGCGATACAGATTTACCGCTCTATGGCACTCGCCGCACTTCCCTGAGTTGGCCACGATCTGGTGGTTGCATTCCGTGGTGTGATCCAGAGTTTCGCCTTGATGACTGGAGAACGCACAAGGGGCCTCGCTTTCGCCAACGCAACTAGCAGCCCAAGGGAAACGCCAAGGTCGGCGTCGAGAAGATGCAAAAATTGTTCTCGAGCCGAGGTTGTTGAGTGGGAGTGGGAGTGGAAGGGGGAAAGGGAGGAGGACAAGCCAGGTGTGCGTCATATCTGACATCCGACCCCTCCCTCGCATCCCATCCGATTGGGCCGATGCTTTATCTACCCGCGGACGCGTGTCATAGCCGACCTGGAACTCCAAAATAGACCCCATCGTGTCATGCGCAATCGGACAAGGGGAGCCGCGTACATGGGAGGAGTCGAATGACCTCTGGTGAGCTTCTCCCCCGCCTTCACAGGGCCGAACGGCCCTACCGTCTCTGAGATGATCGTCACCATCGCCACGAGAATCGGCACTGATCTGAAATGGAGAATTTGTCTCTCTCTCTCTCTCTCTCTCTCTCTCTCTGTCGACAGTTCGGCCGGGCAGGCCGCCCGGCTGGTTGGGCCTGAAAGGCTGCAGTATACACAGCATGCTGCTCGCGCCTCTCCCTTGCGCCCTCTCACTCGGGTCGGGAATTCTCACGCTCTGCGTCGCGCGAGGCGGCACGGCGTCAGAGCACGCTGCGCACGGCGAACGCCACAGGCTGCAGCCCGCTCAGCCGCCACTCGTTCTGGAAACCCAGCTTCACGAGCGGCCCCCTGTCGATCTCGCCCTTGGTGAGCGCATCTGCCAGCATATCGACCGCGTCGATCCAGCAGAGCTGCGCTAGCTGGAGCCGGTCCAACTGTTCTCGCACCGCCAACGTCGGCACGAACATCTGCTTGTCCGTCGTGATCTTGATGACATCGGCGGAGACGGCGTCGAACACGGCCTTGGCGTCGATGGCCGCAATCATATTCATCATCAGGTTGCCGTTCTCCTGCCGCATCCGCATCTGGTTGGCAGAACATACTCCTTCGTTGACCTCGGTCAGTGCAACGTTAAGGAGCGCCCCAGTGCCCAGAGCATCTAGCAACGCCATCAGCTCAGCCGTATACGTAGACCTGACCACATTTTTGTTGCTTGCGACTGTACCAGTCTAACATCACGATTTTGTACGTAGATCCCGTCTGTACTACTTCTTCATTGGCTTCTAGTAGCATGATCATGCAGCCTCGGATCGCCAACCCCTCGAACTCCATGGCATGGAAGGCTGAGTCGCTGACAACCGCTAGGCGAACTCGGTCTGGACTCAGCGCGACGAACCGAACTCCGAGCTGCTTCACGTGAGTCATGATCCATTTCAGCAGCCGATTGATCTTCCTGATGTCACCCACGGTCGGCTTCTTGGCTTGGCGCTGAAGGTAACTCACATACACTGCAATCGGTGCCATTGTCTGCGTCATCCAGGCGACCCCACCGAGAAGCGACATATATGCGGCGTGACTCTCGGTGTTCACCTGTCCGTCTTCGTTCTCCATCACATACTGATATTCTTGCTGTGGGCGTAGCTGCTGTACGTGGTGCTGCTGGTGCGTCCAGATGGCCTCCGTGGTGAGGTTCTGCTCGTGCATGATGCCAATGCACTCAAAGTTGTCATACTGGCGCTTCAGCTTCCCGAACTCCGCTTCTATCACGCTCAGCACCTTCTCCCTCAAGTAGTCCTCGCCGCCGCCCTTCAAGTCGTCAACGTGCGAGGACATGATCATCTGCAGCTCGCCCTTCTCGTTGTGGTACACATAGAGCTGCGGGTCGCTGATGAGTGCCTTGCCGCCGGTCTTCTCCAACACCTTCTTCAGCCTGACCTGCCACAGTCTCGGCGCGTCTTTGACGCCGAACCCGCAGCGAAGGAGCAACAACACCTCTGTCACAGGGTTGAAGTCCTCATATCCTTCCAGTTGTCGTAGCACGGGTATCGATCCAGGTGGCATGGTGAACTGCACTTTTCGCTTCACTTCCCCGTCCATGGCGGCAACCTGCTCGAAGGTGAGGCCACGCAAGAGCCCTTGGCTGATGTCAGCTGAGAACAATCGCCATCTGCGCTGTGCCGTCACTTGATTCACCGGTCGTTGTCCCCATCGTGCCGTCGTTCCTGCAAACGCGAACAGCTCCGAAGACTGCATGTCCTTGAAGCCTCTCACGGTAAGTCTCGCACGCACCTGCTTCTTGCCGTCGATCTCCTTCCACTTGAGCACCCAGCGCGAGTCGATGACGTTGTTCGCCTGATCCTTCGGGAATCGCTGGAAGGCTTGCAATCCCGCCCAGCGCTGGAGCTCATCCTTCATCGCCTGTCGTACTTCAATTTCATGCGCTCGGGCTTGCTCTAGTGTGAGCACATTCATCTCACGCTCGACAACAATCTCGCGCTGGCCCGTGCTGTAGATGCGAAGAACATACATCTCGCCAGTTCCCGGACGTCGAACGTGTTCTGCCTCAGGGCATACCCAATACATCAACGGGGCGCCCATGCCGATCTCGACGCAGTCGGGTCGGGAATTCATGGGGCCCTCCTCAATGGCTTCCACCACGCGATCTGCGTCCGGGGCTGAGAAGAAGAAGTCGGTCTGAGCGCACTCGATGTCGACCGCAGGCAACGCAGCCTGCTCCTTCATATACTGCCAGCTGGCGAACTCGTACTCCTGAGTGGCGTCGCTGTCCGACTCGTCGTCGCCGTTCGCGTCATGGTCTTCCTTGAGCGGCAGCACCGGCTCGTGCAGTGACGCCGAAGGTTCTGCCGCCGCTGCTGGCTCGCCAGAACCTCGAGCTCCACGATCGCGGTCCCCAGCGTCACGAGATCGCGATCTCTCTCGAACTTTCTTCATACCTGGAGACGCCCGACCAATCCTCGTTGTCGGCCCGACATCGCTATGCACGGTCGTGGCCGGAGAAGGTCCTCGGGGCCGCTGTGGTCCTCTGTCACTCCTACTCCTCGTGGAAACACTCGACTGTCTTGATGCGCTGGATAATATCGTGTCAGGTACTCCTGGCGTAGTCGTGCTCATCTGTCTGGACATGCTTGGTATGCTCGTGTCAGATATCGGTCTGTCCTGCCAGGGTACGTCAAAATCCTCCTCCTGAAGCTCAGGTGGGTCTTGAAATGGTCCGGGTTCAGGTCGCTCTGGCTGTTCATATCGTCGCGCGTGTGGGAGATTGCCAAAGGCTGCCACGCGAGGGCCCCGCGGCCTGCCGCCAGCTCGGGCGCGCTGGGAGGCCCCGCGGACGCTTGGTCCAGCGTTCGCGCCACGAGCATGGAGCGAGGCCAAGCGCGCCGGCACAGCGCGTTGAAGCAGCCAAGGCCCGCTCGTCGGAGACGGAAGGGTACGCGCCCCGCGGCTGCGCCGCCGGGCACGAGGCGGCGCTTGACGACCTCCCCCAGCGCCCGGGCCTGGGCCTCCGCCCTGCCTGCACCCCCACCGCAGGCAGCAGGGAGGGGGAGGAGGCAGGAGGGAGGGAAGGAGGGAGGGGAGCAGGCAGCAGGAGGGAGGGGAGGAGGCAGGGGAGGCAGGGGAGGGGAGGGGAGGAGGCAGGGGAGGGGAGCAGGCAGCAGGAGGGAGGGAAGTCCTCCAAGATGTGGCACCTCTGGTTCGCGTGGTCGAAGTTCCCGAACTGATTCGTCGTCGGTCAGAATCAACTGCACGAAGCTCACGTCTCGCCAATGATCCTTACCAAAGATCTGCGCAAGCTTCAGTCTCGCGGACCCCGACGCCTCGTGGTACCAGGACAGCTCTGGACGGCCACGCCGCCACCACCACAGAAAGCTATGGTCACAACCGACCATTCCTTCAAGTACAGATACGCCATTGCCCACCCTCGCGCCGACGCAGCCCACCAGGTAAAAGCCGCTGGCGGCTACATGCAACACCGCCAGGACCAGCTCGCTGAGCTTCTGACTGTCCGCGGTCCGCTTCCACCCGGCGTCAAAGAGCCAACCCACACGTACTACTTTGCTGTCCAGCTGGTCTGCGTAGCTCATGATGGTGGCCACCGGGTCGCGCGACCCTGCTTCGAAGAAGATATTGTTCGTGAGCATCACAAAATACACAAGGCTGCGTCGGAGGTCCTGTGGTCGGACTTGAAAGACTCGGCCTTGCCATCGAACGAGCACTGGCGGTCCGACCTGCAGCAGAGCGGCTGGTCCACGCCAGCCCGACTCCTCCTTCGTGCTCGGTGGTCGATGGAAGCCAACCTGATCTCCGCCCGCAAGTTGCAATGTCTCGTGAGGGGCCCGTGTCTTGGATCGCAGTGCACGCCTCAGCCGATCCTTCGCGGTCATCTCTACCATGGCTTGCATCGCCACCTCACGTAGTCGATGATGATGTCGTGAGATGCCCGGGATGCCCGCAGACTGATCATCAATCTGACAGTCGCTCACCGGCTCGAACTCCGCCAGTAGTGGAGGGAGTCGTCCGTGCACCGCCTGGTAGGGACTGAAGCCCGCCACGGTGATGAGGAGGTTCTTGATGAGTGCGCACTCCGCGATCACCATCTCCAACGGCATCGCGATGCCTTCCTGCTCGAGCTGGCTCCGCACTCGGTGTATGATCTTGCGTGCTAGGTCGTGATGACGCTCCACCAGCTGAGCGTGCGAGCCCTCTTCCTTAGCTTTCATCTTGATGCCCCAGCGGTCCAGCCACTGGCACGCCTCCTCTCCGTGGAGGCCGCCCTCGATATCGGCAATCAGCAGCTTCATGGGGCCATGAGGGCGTATCCAGCCGTTGGTGACCCCAGCAATGATCGTGATCGCCGTCTTGCGGTCTAAAATATTCAGTACTGTCCAGCGTGTAGCTTCATCGATCATGTGGGCCACCATCTGGTCGCCGATGTAGAGGATGTCCCACTGGACCATCTCGTTGAAGCCCGTCGCGAGCCGAGACACTGTTATACTTTTCGGTCCTGGTCTCGTCCACATTCTGCACACTCGGCACGTGTCGCAGATCTCCTTCACCAGGGCCAGCGCGGACGCAGGAGCGCCGGCCTTGGTCAGCAACTCTCGGAGGCGAGCGGCTGGAGCGTGCCAGAATCGAACATGGAGTCGTCGTAGCTGGCGCCGAACAACTTCTTGATGTGGGCTCAGCAGCCGCAGCGCATGTCCGAGGACGAACGCGGTCCAGCCGGGCTCGTCACTAGCTCGAGCCTGAGTCCCCGCATCGACACCTTGGGGTCGTTCAGCTGGAGCTGCTGCAGGTTGCGCCGCGCCCGGTGCTTCACCGACGGCGTCAGCAGACCCTGCGGCGCCACCTGACGACTCGGCTGGCTCTGCTCCGTCCAGAGCTGCTGCCAGTCTCGATCGAGGTCGTGGACCATCCAATCGAGCTCTCCGAGCTTGCCGTGCTGCCAGAGCTGGTGGAAGTGGATCATCGGGCCCCGCTCTTCGAGCTCGCCGTACTGCCTGAACGGGTGGAGGTAGTGGCGGTTCTGGCTCGGCGTCGGGCGCGTCAGCTCGAGCTGCGCTTGGTGCTTGATTCGCAGTCGGCTCTTCCGCGGCTGGCGGTCGCCGTGGCCGCAGGTCTCGCGGTCCGACTGCCCTCGGTAGAACTCCGTCTGCTCGGCATTATCCAGGTATTCGGGTGTGTCGTGTGTCTGAGACCGCGCGGCCGCTCCGGCATGCCGGGCACTTCAGGTCGCGCGTCTTCACCAGTCTATGCTTGCATGTTTCTCCTCTGTCGTGTGATACGTGATCAGCCGGCCGATGATGCCGGCATCCGGGACATGATCGCACCGCGGCAGGTGCTGCTGCTGCTGCTGCTGGTGCTGCAGCCGCTGCTGCTGATCCTGGTGCTGATGCTGCAGCTGCCGGCGCAGAAGAAGAAGAAGCGGCGCCAGCGCCGTCCGCCTGCACCGCAGTCGTGGGGTAGCACTCGAACACGACAAGGTGATGTCCCTGAGACCTCACGTGCTCTATCATGCGGGAAATACTCGTGGCCAACTCCCTGCAAATACCGATGGCCCACTCTGCATGATCTTTGGGATTCCCCAGGCGCCACTTGTCCTGCTCCGGGCAGGCGCTTCGACCACCATGTGCCAGCAGGGCGTGCTCATGCTGGCCGTCGCAACGGAACTTCCTGAGACCGCCGATCAGGCCCTCGTTCGAGGCCCAGAACTCGGAGGACTTCTTGATCGGTAATCCTGTCCGACGTCCCATCTTGCCCGCCATGCACTGGTCGACCTGGCACCACACCACCGCGTAATTGTTGGCAATGTACTTCCAGTCGTCGAGTTTGTAGAAGTCGCTGCCCAGGGGCTGCCCCGACACGAAGTGGCGCCCAGCGTCCATCTGCGCGCATGCTGCCGCAGCGGCCAGGCGTGCCAGTGCCATTGATATCCTGCGACTGCGCAGCCAGCCGCCGTGGTTGATGACCTTGTTCAGTGCCGAGAACCCCATTCAGGCTAGTACACGGCGTGCTGATCAGCAGCACAAGGGGCTTGCTGTCATGCAAGTATGCCCAGAACTGCTGCTGGCTATCGTGAGTCATCAAGTCGCAGTTGCAGATGAGGTCGAAGTTGGGGCCACCTCGGTAGCCTCGCCGTACAAGTAGCCGTGTTGTTACCGATGCTCCACCGCACAGCTCCGCGACATCGTCGTGCTGCAGGTGGCCGTAGTAGTGATTCATATACTTCACCATACCATTCGTCGAGTGAAAGAAGCTATGCTGCTCGTCCTTCTGGCTCAGATACGCCTCCGAGCCGGTCATGCCAAAGAACTCGGACATCATCACGTACGGCTGCTCGTCGACGCACTGATCTTCTCTGAGCTCGGTGCCGTAGCAGACCTCGTCCAGTTCGCACTCGTTCGCCACGTATAGCTTCGTGAAGTCGGACCCGCAACCGTCGAAGACCTGCTCGACCTCCTGCGGTCTCTTCTTCACCTTGCGATCCCGGTCTGCTGCCTTGCGCGCCTTGTCGCGCGCCCTCTGCTCGGTGGGAAAGCTCGCGGCCAGCGCGCCCACCTTGCAGCCGGCATCGGCGACGTCGTCGGCGAACGAGACTCGGCCAGGGCGACGCAACTCACGTCGTGACTGCTCCTCATCGGCTTCTTCCAAGGCCACTGTCCGTGATCCTGGAGGCCCGGCAGTCGTCGGATCAACTCCTGACGACCCGGGTCGGGCAGCACCCCTGGCCTCACTGCCTGATGTGGCTGTTGCAGATGGCGACGATCCGTCGGCTGCGTCGGATCTCACGCCGCCGTCGATGCACCCAGCGGCCACCATCCGCTTGACCAGGGCAGACACCCCCTTGGCATTGAAGTCTGGCCGATCTGCAACTGTCTTCCGTGTAACGTGTCGGCCAGGTGGCCAACCACAGCGGCACTTCGCATCGTGGTCGTCAAAGTAGCTGCTGCTGATGATGCGAGCGACCTGTGCTGCTGAAATCCTCGAGCGCCGCGTGCGCCGAGGTTGCACCATCGTAGTCGTCCCATGTGCCATCTGCCGTCGTCTATCAGCTCGAGAATGTCGGGCATGTCCCACACCACGCTGCCCTCGTCTGCTTCGACGACGCATAGGCGATGTCCTTCGAGTTGAGCTCGAGCAATCCTGCACTCAAAGCGCTTGGCTCGCTTGTCGTTCCGCGCGCCCCTTGCCGCACCCGGCTGGGCAAGGCTGATCCACGCGAGCTCCGGTCGCTGGCGGCGCAGGGAATCCGCCCACCTGTCCTCTTGCCCGAGGAATCGGAACATCACAATTGCGGCCCACCGCATATCCGCATCCGCGCAGCGCATTCTGGCATAGGTTCTGCAAGTCGCCGAATACCCATGCCGATGGCGGTCCCCCGCCGCCCCGAGCACCAAGATGGGGAGCCTGCGATCAGAGTTGCAGGCCGCCCTTGTCGGGCTGCCCGCCAGAACTGCTCGCGGCGGTTCCGCTGCTGGATGACGTTGCGGTAGTGCTCTTCTTGCTTGCTATGCTGGACGCCATCGGAGTTGGCGAAGTAGCTGCTGTCGAGGCGGTAGTATCGGACGCAATTGACATAGCCAATGCCATGGTCTTCGTCGGCCCCGCACTCCTCGAAGTCGCCAGCTCGTCGTACAGGTCACAGGGCAACATAAGATGACCAGCGTGGCTCTCCTCCAGGTGGTACTGTGCCGATCCAAGGCTCAGCCGCAGTGAATAGCCACCTGGGCCAATGCGGTACAGCCTGTTGTTGAAGCAGCCCAGCAGGGTGCGCTGGTCCCGCAAGTACTTCCGCCCGAGCAGCGCTGGCACACTGCTGTTCGGGAGCACTGGTGCTTCATAGGTCGCCACCTGACCTCCTTCCAGTGCAAGTTGATAACGATGAGAATGAGTCGCTTGCTGGGATCCTGAGCCCACGCCGCCAACCTCGAGCGTCTTGCCGAGGGGCGTGCGAACTGGCGGTGGGAGTCCTGCCTGTCGCCGCTTCTCAGCATCCGATGGCCCCACTCGTCGCCAGCGAGGTTGCCTGGGCTCCCAGGGTCCACCAGCAAGGCCTCGCCGCTCTTATTCTTCATGCGGGTGCGGACCAGGTAGGTCTCCTCGTTGGTGCTCTCGAGCTGGTCCACTCGCCACCACGGAAACCATTCGAGGCTAGTCTTCCCGTCGGCGCGGTCCTCTGCACTCGCCTGCATCTCCGCCAGCATGTCGTGCCCCGTGATGTCGTCGAGCATGTTGAGGGTCTCCCAGTCCAGGGCCTCGCGGTCGTCATCCTCGTGGAGATCGCCGATCCGCACGCCGGGCGTCTGGATATCGTCCGTGAGGTAGTGCAGTACTCCAGTCATCGATCCTGTTCTCGGCTGCGCTGGGGAAGGTGAGTACGCGGCCAGCACTGGGCCCACGGCTTGCGAGCCGGGCGTCGGTGGACCCGTCGTGGCGCTGGGCGCGCTCCAGGCCGCGAAGTGCTTGCCCTTGCCCTTGCCCTTGCGCTGGAGGCAGGAGGCCACGAGGCGCGTCTCCGAGTCGCACTCGTGACATCGCATGACACGACCGTCTCTGCCCCTCGGATTGGTGGCACTCGGAGAGCCCGCCATGTAATGTTTGCCACCCTTCTTCCTCTTGCCTTTTCCACCCGCCAAGGATCTGGGATTCACCACTGATCCGCCGAAATGATATCCTTTGCCATGGCCACGTCCTCGTCCAAAGCTGCCGCCCTTTCCGCTGCTCATGCGCAGGGACCAATTGCTGCGAGGAAAACGTGCACGGCGGCTGCCGCGGTGGACGAAGTGACGGAACCTGCGCTTGGCGAACATACACTCGCGCAGTAGCGTGTCGTAATCCCAGCCCTCGGCGTCGCCGTAGTACTCCTGGAGCTCCTCGGGCGTGAACTCGGAGGTGTCAATGTCGTCGTCGCCAGTCATCGAGTCCTCGTCGCCCGGCTCGTCCTCGTACAGGTAGCTCGCACAGGTGGCGCAGCAGTCGTAGCCCTCCTCATCCTGAACGACGTAGTGCTGAGAGGAATTGCCGTGTCCGGCCGATCCCGCGCTGCTGCCGCCGCCAGCACTTTGTCCATACATGTATGCAGCCGTGTCACTCCATGTTGCTACGCCGCCAGCGCCATCGCCTGTGAACCAATGCTGCCCGTGATGCCCTTTGCCGCGGTAGCCCTCAGCCAGGCTCTGCGGTCCTGCATGCGTGTGCTCAGCGAAGTGCCCCTGCTGCCGCACCATGCCAATCACCGTGTTCAGCTGGTCCGTCATCGTTGGCAACTGACCAAGAACAGCAAAGCGAGCACGGGCGTCGGCAGCACAAACTGATCGTCAAATTGACCCGCTCGGGCGCGCAGCGCCTCAAAGCGGGTGACTGCATCGTCGACGCTCTCCCGCTCCTGCCGGCGGAAGGTGATCAGCTCCACAATGGTACTGATCGAAGTCTGAACATCGAGAGGGCCGAAGCGCCGTCGGAGTCCCGCAATCAGCATCTGCACCCCGTCCTCGATCTGATTACCAAGGCCATCGAACCTGCCCAGCGCGATGTTCTCCACCGGCACTTTGGACGATAGCTGGACCACGCTGGGGGGGCTGGAGCTCCGTCGCGGCGCACCACAGCATCACGTCCTGGACCCACAGGCGGAAGGGATAGCCCCGCTGCTCGAGGTACGGGGCCCAGAACGGCGGGACCTTTGACGTGCTCTGCTGGGCCAGTTCTGCTGCCGGAAGTCCCTGTGGTTGTTGATCGTGAGCGTGGGGCCCCCACGCCGGCGCCGGCAGGCGCGACTCGCCGATGCGGTGGCCCCGCTGCGGCGACATTGGTCGGCACCCCTGGGGCTCTGCCAGCGCGAGCAGGCGGCTGATCGCCGTCGCCATGAGGCCGATGACCATGATGAACTTCATACTCTTGCCGAAACTCGAGTGCCTCGCCGAAGGCGACGAGGAGGAGCTTCCAGCTCTCGTCCTGGTGGCCTGTGTCGAACAGGCTGCGCACGAAGTCGGAGTCGCACAGGTACAACGCCTTGGGCTGATCCGTCCTCCGTGGCCGTGGTCGTCACGCACAGGGCCGGCGGCGGCTGCAGCCGACCCTGCAGAGCCCTCCGGCTCCGCTACCAGAGTCGAATGACCTCTGGTGAGCTTCTCCCCCGCCTTCACAGGGCCGAACGGCCCTACCGTCTCTGAGATGATCGTCACCATCGCCACGAGATTCGGTACTGATCTGAGATGGAAACTTTGTCTCTCTCTGTCGACAGTTCGGCCAGGCAGGCCGCCCGGCTGGTTGAGCCTGAAAGGCTGCAGTATACACAGCATGCTGCTCGCGCCTCTCCCCTGCACCCTTTCACTGGAGGAGGGGGGTGGCGGGTGAGCAAGAGGATGAGCAGGAGGAAAAAGGGGAGGAGGAGGAGGAGGAGGAGGAGGAGGAGGAAGAGGAGGAGGAATAAGGAGAAGATGACATATTGGGAGCAGCAGGAACTGGTGCGGAAGGAGTACCAGGGGAAGGCAGAGGAGCGGAAAAGGGGGCGACAACGATGAAAAAGGGCTCGGATGCCGAAAAGTGGCCCTCGCTGGGGCCACAGCGCCCTTCCCGCCAGGGCTAGGGGAGAGAGGACAGTAGTACTAGACGAGCGTGGTACACTTCTCGCAGAGTACCTACTCGCAAATGGCCTGGATCCGCCGCGGGGGATCTACGATTAATCACATCGAAGCAGGCATGTGTTTTCCGAGCGTTTGCGAGTAGGCACTTTGCGAGTAGTGGAACGCACTCGGTGAAGTACTCCTGTTGCGCAAGTGTGGAGGATGGAGGAGGGGGGACGGAGGGAGGAGGGAGGGGGCGGAAAGGAGGAGGGTGGCGGCGGCGGGGGAAGATGTGGCGAGCCGTGCGCCTGCAACGGCGCCCGAAGCTGCCGCCACCCAGGGCCTCGTGGACATGGCTGCCCTGCCGCCGGGGAGGCCGAGCTGCGGCTCTCGGCCGCCTGCGGCGACCCCCCCTTGAGGCTGCAAGAGGGCGGCGGGGCTGCCGGCACCGCCGCGTCGTCGCCGAGAGGCGCGCTGCTCCAGGAGCAAAGACCGAGGAGGAGGCTCGACGGTGCAGGACCCGCTCTTCCCGTGGACAGACGGGCGCGTTCCACTACTCGCCAGGTGACTGCTCCCAGGTGGCCTGGATCCACCGCGGGGGATCCAAGAGAACTTGCACCGACGCAGGCGTGTTTTTCGGGTGTTTGCGAGTGGGCACTTCGCGAGCAGGTGGAACGCGCTCGGCGAGTGGAGGCCTCCTGGATGGAGCGGGAGCAGGTGGGGCCGGAGGATCGGACCGCATCGGCGACGTTGGGAGGGCGAGAGCGGGCTTCAGACTACCCCAGTTGCTCCGGCCCCATCTGGGAGGCCTGGAGAGGCGCCTCACAGGATCGAGGATCGAGGAGGATCGAGGATCGAGGATCGGCTCTTTCGGACGCTGCTGGCTCTCTCTCTCTCCCTCTTTCTCTGTGGGAGGCCAGAGGTAGGTCTCCCGTGGCCTCCCTCCTGGGGCCCCAGAGGACACTCTGCCTCGAGACCCCTGGGGGCCTCTGGAGACCTCCGGAGGCCTCTTGTAATTCTTACAGTGCCCCGAGCGGTACGGCCGGAAAGCGCCCGCCACAGAGCGTATGCTAGAAGAGCTCTCGGCGCGGGCGTCGCCCCCTCAGGGGCGACGCGCACACAGGGGGCGTTTTCTTTTTCGGCGTTTCGACATTGGGCGGAAGGGGGGGTAGAGGGGGGGGTCTGTCTCTGGACCTCTGCTTGCTGCGGCTGTTTGCAGCAGTGCGTCCCATGGGAGAGGGACTCCACCTGCCTGAAACAGGCGCCAGAAACAGCCAAGATCTACTCCATGGGGGGGGAAGGGGGGGGTGCGAGGGCCAGCGCCGATCGGCAAAACAGTGAAGAAAATTCTCCTGGCGAAGGACCCAACCACATGCAGTTGTGAGTAACGCGTTGTGGGTGCCGCTTTCGGTGGAGCTCCGCATGGGGCCACGAAACGCGTGAGGGACGTGCCGTAATGGGTGGGGGAGATGCATGCGGGCGGTGCCACTGGAGCCTTCGGTGGGGCGCCCTATGAGGCCACGAAACGCTGTCTTGGGTGTGGCTGACGCATGCGGGCGGTGCCCCTCGTTGGAGCTCCCGATGAGGCCACGAAACGCTGTACTGGTTGGGGGAAACGCATGCGGGTGGTGCCGCTGGGGTCTTTCTGTGGAGCTCCCTACTGGGCCAAGAAACGCTGCTCTGGGCGGTTGCCGACGCATGCGGACGGTGCCACTGGCGCCTTCGGTGGAGCTCCCTATGGGCCCACAACACGCTGCACTGGGTTGGGGGTCGCATTCGGGCGGGCCACTGGAGCTCCCCACGGGGCCACGAAACGCTGTACCGGGTGAGGGGGGCGCATGCGGGCGGTGCCATTGGGGTTCGGTGGAGCTCCCAACCAATGGGGCTGCGAAATGCAATATTAGGTGGTGGACGACGCATGCATGCGGTGCCACTGGGGTCTTTCTGTGGAGCTCCCTATGGGGCCTGGGTGTGGCGGACGCATGTGGCCACTCCCACTGGACCCTTAGGTGGAGCTCCCTATGGGGCCACGAAACACTGTACTGGGTGTGGCGGACGCACGTGGCCACCCCCACTGGGGCCTTGGGTGGAGCTCCCTGTGGGGTCACGAAACGCTGCACTGGGTGTGGCGGACGCATGTGGCCACCCCCACTGGGGCCTTACGTGGAGTTCCCTATGGGGCCACGAAACACTGTACTGGGTGTGGCGGACGCACGTGGCCACCCCCACTGGGGCCTTGGGTGGAGCTCCCTATGGGGCCACGAAACGCTGCACTGGGTGTGGCGGACGCATGTGGCCACCCCCACTGGGGCCTTAGGTGGAGCTCCGTATGGTACCCCCAAAACGCTGTGCTGGGTGTGGCGGACGCATGTGGCCACTCCCACTGGGACCTTGGGTGGAGCTCCCTATGGGGCAACGAAACACTGTACTGGGTGTGGCGGACGCATGTGGGCACCCCCACTGGAGCCTTGGGTAGAGCTCCCTATGGGGCCACGAAGCGCTGCACTGGGTGTGGCGGACGCATGTGGCCACCCCCACTGGGGCCTTGGGTGGAGCTCCCTATGGTACCCCCACTGGGGCCTTGGGTGGAGCTCCCTATGGGACCACGAAACGCTGTACTGGGTGTGGCGGACGCATGTGGCCACCCCCACGGGGCCCTTAGGTGGAGCTCCCTATGGGGCCACGAAACGCTGTACTGGGTGTGGCGGACGCATGTGGTACCCCCACTGGGGCCTTACGTGGAGCTCCCTATGGAGCCACGAAACGCTGTACTGGGTGTGGCGGACGCATGTGGTACCCCCACTTGGGGGGGCACGGGAGGAGACGCGGGGACCGTTTCTTCAAAACGAGGACCCAACACCACAGGATGGTTGGGAACAAAGACATAACCAAAAACAGAGGCAGTAAGCCAAGGGTGTGTGCCGATGTCGTCGTACACGATGTCTGGGGCCCCTTTGACGTTCTTTTCTAGACACAACAATCGCGAAAACCAAGATGCACAGAAGGCGACATGAGGAACACGCACGCACAATCCTCCTGACGCTACTTCGTCCGCGAACCAGGGTACTGGAGACGAAGACACCGAGCAAGGATTGCACGATCGTACAAGTTCTGATCAGCAAGCCTGCGTACGCCTACGCACAGCGAAGTCGAACAGAAACGCATGAATGAAATCAGTGGCATAATATGTTCAACCAATCCGATGCTCTCGGCAACAATTTCCCGCCGCATCGGGCGAAGAGCTCACTGCGCAACTCTCGACCCAATGCCTTTCAGCACGCCTCCAAGCCAGATCGATCCGTGAGAGCCCCGGGGACCGAGACGAAGCGAAAACGGCCGTCGTGTTTTGCACGGCACGACGCTCGGATCTGAAGGCATGGCAGGATCAGTAAGCATCGCATCGGGAAATCGGGTCGAATTGGAATGTGCGTCGGACCAGGCAGCATTGGCACGGAGTCTTCATCGAATCGGATCGGCCGCGCCAGGATTCAAACCAGCGAGATGCAAGCATCGGGGCGCATCTCGGTCGGAAAATCAAAAGCGAATCGGATCGGGCCGGCCAACAGAACTACATAGATCGAATCGGACCGATCGGATCCGAATCGACCCTGATATGGTAGCGCAACCTTCCAGCCCTTGCGTACGTGCGAGGAGGAAAGATGGGGAGGACTCGCTCAGGAGGGGAGACTTTGACTTCAAGTCGCCGATAGACCAGCGATAGTCCCCCGACAGCAAAACCGCAGGTTCCTGGGCAGGGCAGAGGGCTCAGAACCCGATCGGCGATGACTGGGCCTCCCCCTGAGCCAATCCCCCTTGACGTTGCCCCTGAACGTGACGTGCCCCTTGACGTTGCCCCTGAACGTGACTTCCCGTCCCCTCTCAATATCCTCCTCATCATCACAAGCGTATCGACAACATCACCACTGCCGAATTATCACTACCCATGATGGTCAACATCAGCCTAAGAATCATCGTGTACCCTCTCACCGTCAGAACAAAGCCCGCGTGCCCTTCAGGGCGTGAGTGGCTTAGGAAATTTCCTCTTCCAACCCACTTCGTCCCCTTCAGGAAAGGTTTCATCACTGCTCCCTATTAATAGACACCCCGTCCCCCAGGCGACTGGCAGCCAAGCCAAACCAATGCTGCGGGCCCACCCATCCATCGTCCCGTGCAACAAAAACAAAATGCACTTTGCCTCCAAATCTGGAGCATGCGCGGGCGCCCCGCGACCACTTCGCTTTGGTTTTGAAAAGGAACGGCAGGGGTGCCGGCATATTGCTTGCTGCGCGCAGGCCGACCATCCCTGTCAAAAAAAACAATCCAAAGTA